TTTTTTCAGACAGAGTCTCACTCTGTTGCCTGGGCTACGGTGCCATGGCATCAGCCTAGCTCACAGCAACCTCAAACTCCTGGGCTCAAGCAATCCTCTCTCTGCCTCAGCCTCCTGAGTAGCTGGGACTACAGGCATACGCCACCATGCCTGGCTAATTTTTTCTATATATTTTTAGTTGTCCAGCTAATTTCTTTGTATTTTTAGTAGAGACGGGGTCTCGCTCTTGCTCAGGCTGGTCTCGAACGCGAGAGCTCAAACGATCCTCCTGCCTCAGCCTCCCAGAGTGCTAGGATTACAGGAGTGAGCCACCGGCCCGGCCTTGAACAAATCTATTCTAATAACAAAGGAGTAGAAACAACCCAAGAATCTACAATAGGGGAAGAGTAGACAGTCTATGGTGCATCCACACCATGGAACACTCTATAGCTGTAAGATAAGATGAAGAAACAACCAATGTGCTGATTGGGAAGGCATCCAAAACATACTTCGAGTGAAAAATGCAAGGTACAGGCTGGGTACAGTGACACGCGCCTGTAATCCCAGCTATTCAACTACTCCCGCTATGTGGGAGATTGACACAGGAGGATCACTTGAGGCCAGGATTTTGAGGCTACCCTGGGTAACACAGTGAGACCCTGTCTCAAAAACAAACAACCAAACGCAAGGTACAGATCAGTGTGTAGAGTTTGTTTTTTGTGTTAAGAAAGGGATAAAATTGTAAAATATATATTTTCATTTGCTTGTTTTTCTATAAAGAAAGTCTGCAGGGCTATTCAAGAAATTAGCAAAGGTGTTACATGCAGTGAAGAGGAAAGGAGGACAGGACAGACCACAGTGAGTGTTTTCACTGTACTTTATACCTTTCTATATACATTTTCTTTTTTGAATCATATGAAATTATTTCCTAACCAAAACCTCTAAAATTGACCAAAAATAGCAGGCATGAAGGCTTTTACCTTCATGCTTTGAATTAGTATTCATAGCTGATCTTACTCATCTCTTCATGTAAGTTCTGGCATAGATTTATAATTTCAAGTTGAAAAAAAATTGAGAAAAAAAAAACAAGCAAGAATTATAGTGAGTTGCAGAATCCTACAAACCTAAAGAGGCAGATTAGGACTACGTGCCTAGATTAGCAATGACAGTGGGTATTTGGCTCCATTATATTTCCTATTCTTCTTCTTTTGAGAAAATCTACCTCCCTCAAAATACTCTCCACTTTGTGCCTTTAAAAAGTCATATGGCTTATTAGAAAGGGTTCAAAATTATTAATGCAAGCCCACTCAGGTTCTTGCAGATTAGAAAATGGCTAAGGTTGTGACTCATCCATGAATGACTCTCTGCTAATCAGGAAACAGCAATGATGACCAGTATTTAAAGTCAGTGAAAACAGACCACGGTAGATCTCTAAAGAAACAGAGTATCTTTATATTAATTGAGAACTTACTAGAGAAAATGTTTTGCTCTCTGACGCCAAATGAACAGGAATATGATTACTACAAAAGATAACTACTTACCCTGAAGTCGAAGTCTAGCTGTATCCAAGGGAAAAAATACTGTCATTGCTGTCACACTTCCCTGAAAAGTTAGAAAAAGGCTTTAGCCACTGCAGTATCACAAACATAATGAGCCACATCTTTTAAATAAACAAAAGTTCATTATTAACAATGGGTCAAATAAGATTTTCAGTGATCAAATACACACATTTTAATCTGTTGGGATTAAAATGTTATATGCTTAAACATAAGTATTTAATTTGCCAGAAGAGAAATTTCTCTCTCTCTCTCTCTCATATTGAAAAAGAAAATACAGTAGGTCCCTGCAAATGACAAACTTAGGGGTTTGCAACCTAGGACACATGTGGAAGATAGCAGATAAATGGATTTTTTTTTTTTTTT